TTTAAAAAAAAAAATTCTGACATGTTGGTGTTATATCTCACTTGGATGTTATAAGTTGCACTGAGTAAATACAGCTGGATAAAACAAAAACTGTATATATCTTCATTTCAGGCTGTAAAGCAACAAAATGTGAGTATTTTAAAAGTGGGTGATTCTTTTCTATACCAACCGTATACAATAGTTAAAGTAATATTGAGTAACTTACATTTTAGACACTATAAACAGACAACAAGCCCTACAAATTAATAAATGATTACAGACACCCCATGTTAAATGGTACTGGATGATTTGTAGATTGCATTTAATAGATAACACTTTAGAAAACATTTGCAATTGACACTTTTCAAAATCGCGAATCACTTTGCAAAGTAAATGGTTCAATTGATTCAGAGTTTTGAAAAGCTCAGTTTCTCCCATTACTGAATGTGTTTTTGCACAAATCAAGTGAACAATTCAATGACTCACTAATGAAGACAATCACCTGTTCCATTGATGAATGAAGCAAAGTTTTCCAACTAACTGGTTGGAGTGAATGAATCAATGACTCATAAAAGACCATCAAGTCATTTGTAAACACCTACTTGCATAACAACGTAACCTGCAGAAAGAATCACTTAATCCTCCAATAATCATGCACAGACTCCATCTGAAATTACTAAACACAGACAAGTGGAGTGACATAAACAGCATTAGACTCTTATATAGAAACTCTAAGAATGCAGTTTGACCAATCAGAATCAAGAACCGGAAATAACGTTTAAAAAATGTATTTAAATGAATACTTTTACATTTTAATTTAACAATAATTATTTCTTTTGCAATATTTATAATATTCAAAACTCAAAAATGTACTCCACATCATGCGTTCTTTATCCATTGTTTGTGATGTTACTCTACCAGAAAGAGAATTTTAAAAAGATGATAAAGATGTGTGCCAGAGTGTTAACTGTCCACATAAACTCAAAGAGAAGCGCAGTTTAGCATCATTGAGAAAGTGAGGAGAGGAATCATTTCTTCTTTTAGTTACACAAAAGGAGGTCTGGTTTATTTTAAAAAGATGACAAAGATGTGTGCCAGAGTGTTAACTGTCCACATAAACTCAAAGAGAAGTGCAGTTTAGCATCATTGAGAAAGTGAGGAGAGGAATCATTTCTTCTTTTAGTTACACAAAAGGAGGTCTGGTTTATTCACTGAACATGCTCACAAGACACACTTCCACAGGATGGGCCTGCCAAGTGCCCCATCATCCTCCATTTCATCTGCTTATCTCACTTTAGCAGCAGGGGTCTTGCCATGCTGGGGTCTGTAAATGGCAGCACGAGTGCAGTTTTCCTGAACCAGCACAGGCAAGTCTATTGATCTGGTTCGGCCACCGGACTTGGTAGGGGGTGGTATTGTCAATAAGGTGCAACCTGTACAGCTGTGGAATCAGTTGGTAGCCATTTAATTGAGGATTACATGCTGATGACCTACCCTCTTCATTGGAAATGCATCATGGGAGATTGATATTGATAACGAACAGTAACATCTGTCACTCACACCAGTGATAACCAAGGAGGTCTATCATTCTAAAGCTATCTGTTAGTATTCACATTTATCCCAATGGCAGTTGCTCGGCTGCTGATGAACCCCTCAGATGTGCACAATTTGAAATACGAAACAATTTTATACAACAATACAAGATACAAAAAGTAATTAACATAGTATCTGCAATGGTGTGATTTAGGATTTAGAGCAAACACCCTCATAAAACAGTATGAAACTGAATTCAGAGTAAAGCACATGCAAGTTGATTTTATGACAACAAACAATATCCATGAAATTCATCAAGCACTATGTAATCAAAAGACTCTTCCACTGCAGTCCGATTCATCCCACAAATGTCTACCTGCCTCTAGCTTTCATCATCAGAAAAGGATGCTACTAAATAAATACTATTATTGGTGTGGGCCTTTCAGTAACTAAGAGAGTTCAGTACATACATACCGTATGGGACATGCACCGTATTCAACACACAGCCTTAATATTTAAAATTCATAATGCAATTAAATAAAAAATTAATTAAATAATTAAAATTAATTATTAATACAAAATTAATAAAAATAGCAATTTAACAATGTAAAAGTAACCCCCATTTAATGCATTTTCAATAAATACATAAATAATCTTAGTGACCCCAAATGTTTGAATATTGTGTCTACTGAACTATAGTTCGTAATGAAGCTAACAAAAAACAAAAAACAAAACAAAACAAAAAAAAAAAGCATAATGAGAACAGCTGCAGTAAACTAAATATTCACAAGATTTAAAGGTGACATATCATGAAAATCTGACTTTTCCAGGTTTTAAGTGCTATAATCAGGTCCCTGGTGCATCTAGCAACCAAGGAAACATGAAAAAGATTAATCTAGTAACTTTGTTTTGGTAAGCCTTTTTCTGCAAGCGTCTGGAAAAACGAGCGCGTCTGATTTCACTCCCTTGGTGACGTGGCAAAGGGATCTCATTATAATATTACCGCCCCTTAGGAGACAACAGAGCAGTGCATTTATTGATTTATTTACTGTATATTGCTGCTACCACACAGATCTAAAATAAACATGCGATTTATTTCCCAGGTGTTTATTTAGACAAAAATAGACATTTTTGTAACTCGTGTGTTTTTAACGTAAACTTGTGTGTGAATGAGAACTTAGTTTAGTACTCACATGCTGCGACAGGCGCTTTCTGTCCATGTGCTTCGGATGTGTGCGCTCAGAAAACCGCATGTAAGTTTAAACTCATATGGTTTAAAACGCATGATTTCAGCGCAATAAACATGATAATCAGAACCAAAACATGATTTTTAGCAGGTCAGGTACGAGCTGTAATGGCGTAGCTCTATTCTGGAAAAGGGGGCGGGGAGCAGCAGCTCATTTGCATTTAAAGAGCCAGGCCCGAGAAACAGCGTGTTTCTTCTTCCACTCAAAATAGGCATTTTCAAAATGATATAATAAATGATCTGTGGAGTATTTTGAGCTGAAACTTCACAGACACATTCTGGGGACACCAGAGACTTATATTACATATTATAAAAAAGGGGCATAATATGTCTCCTTTAAATAATCCTTATCTACTTCATTTGTACCTCCAGTCCACAGCAGTTAAAAAGATACCAATCTAAACAGTGTGTATAAG